CACACCCGCCTCCCCCTGCCATGGGTTTGATTCATTTGCTAGAGTGGCTCACGGAACTCAGAGAACATCTCATTCCTGGATCGCGGGTTTATTGTAAGAGCAGCTAACCCAGGAGCAGCCAGACAGCAGCGACCACCACCCCCGGCGAGGGGAAGGGTGCCGAGCTCCCATGCTCTCTCTGGGCCTGCCACTCTCCCAGAACCCCGACCTGTTCACCAACCTGGAAGCTCTTGGAAGCTTCGGGGTGCTAAAGGTTTTGTTACACTAATAATAGCTAATACACTACTACTACTACACTAATAATAGCTCAGTGCTATCTCCAACCCCTCCTCTCCCCAGAGGTCAGGTGGTGGGACTGAAAATCCTAACCCTCTAATCCCAGGGTGATTCCCTGGGCCACCAGCCCCATCTCCCCAGGGAGGCCCAAAAGTCATTTCATTAACATAATAAAAGAGGCCTTTCGGGTTCTCCTGTCTTCGGAAACTCCAAGGTTTTAGCAGTTCTGCCCCAGAAAGGAGGACCGAGACCAGATCTGGGCTTCCTCTAAAGCACACCAATCCGCCTGACATGCCCCGTGAAGCTTCCTTTTTCCTGCGTGCGTTCTCCGGAGGTCCTTGCAGTCGGCGGACCGTGATGAGCTCTCTTCTGCCAAAGGCGAGGACTGGGCCGCCCCTGCTCCGCGCCCCCCCCCACCCCCGTGCCCACCGCAGGCCCATTCCTGTTTCTTTCTTCCCTGGTGTCCCCACAGCCCTCCCACCAGTCCGTAAACAACTACTCTAATTTAATGTGTCTTTTTGTTGGTAAGTGCATTTGGGGGGAAAAAAGTTTCTGGGTTTGGCGTCGTTTTTTTTTTTTTTTTTTTTTTTTTTTGTCTTTTTGAAATAGTTTTAGGCGTGTGGAAGATTTGCAAAAGTAGCGCCGCGGTTCCATGCGCCCTCCACGAGCTTCCTCAGATGGTAACATCTTATAGAACCGTGGGACACTTATCAGAGATTTTAAATGCCTTTAAATTATATTATACATCTCATTCTGTGTTTTACTTTCTCCCCCAAGCCCTTTATTAAAAAAAGACCCTTCTGGGGTGCCTGGGTGGCTCCGTGGGTTAAAGCCTCTGCCTTCGGCTTAGGTTATGATCTCGGGGTCCTGGGATCGAGCCCCGCATCGGGCTCTCTGCTCAGTGGGGAGCCTGCTTCCCCCTCTCTCTCTCTCTGCCTCTCTGCCCACTTGTGATCTCTGTCAAATGAATAAATAAAATCAGTTTTTAAAAAAGACCCTTCTGGGTTGCTGGGTGTGTATCTGGCCCGTTACTCCACTTTCCTTTTTCGTCACATGATTTAGTTTAGTTTTAAAAACCCTCCTGAGCGTGTACCCCGATGACCAGAAGCTCCACGTCCTGACCCCCCCCACCCCAGTTCGTGGTGTCACATACCAATGTCCGTGCTGGAAGCTTCCACGTTTTAGTCCACGTTACTGACGGGTGATCCAGGCCCGGTTACGACTCACCCGTCTGAGCATTTGAGGAGTTTATGGGGTGTGGACCCCACAGAGTCCCTGCCGGGGCCCGGTGTGGTGGCGGACAGAGAGCCGCTGGCCTTCCGGCTGGTTCTAGGGCTCCGTCCGGGCTGCTGGTGGGGGTGGGGGGCAGTGGGCCCCGCGGGCGCAGCCCCTGCTGGTGGCGCCTCACCTTTCCCTGGCGGCTCTGGCCAAACACAAGCACCAAACTTGAAAGAAGTCGTGCGTCTGCCCTTTCCTCTCCTGGGCGGTGTCTTCCAGATCCAACACTCACACTTGCTCCTCAGGCCCAGCACCCCCGGACTTGCTCCCGGCCGGTCTGGAATTCTAGAAGCTCTAGAGCTCGGGTCTTACAATAAGCTTTGGGGCCATCTGAGCGCATGTGTGTGCTGGTGCGAGGGCTCGTCGGGGTTTTTTTTTTTTTTTCTTTATCGAACGTGGATGTTCCGTTATCCCAGCACCGCCTTTTGGGAAGACCACGGTTCTCCCACAGAGGCACTTGCTCTCTGCCGGACGTCGGTCAGCTCTCTCCGGCTGGGTCTTTTCCGGGTCCCTCTCTGTTCTCCTGACCCGTCTGTGCCTTCTCTGGCCAATACCGCCCTGCCCTGACGTGCTACTCCTTTCCTGTCTTCGATGGCCCTACTGAGAGGCTCTGTCTTCTGCCCGTCATGCATCTCTGAGGCACAGGGACCATCATTGGTGGAAAGTCTTTGGTGGTTCCTGCCTGCGAGTCCCCTTTCCCGCCCTGTACCCCGCATGGAGGTGTCTGCGTTTCTGCACCGGTCAAGGCCACGTGGGCTGCACCCCGGCCACGTGGGCACCTGGTTGTGAGGCTCTATGTCCTCCTGAGACCCCATGAGGAGCCCGGATTCAGGGGCTTGTGTAGACCATGAGACAGGCGAGGTTTGTGCTGCCAGCCCCACCTTCTGGGAACACTGGCCCTACCAGCGGGGTTTAAACCCTTTCCCCCACGTGATTTAGGTCCGTGTGTGTGGGCACAAGTGGCAAGTGCGGGACCAGAGCGGGTCCACCCCTTGGAGCAATTCTGAAATCGCGTGCGTGCTGGTTAGGGTTGCACACAAACGTGCCCAGGTCGGGGGGAGCCCCCATACACACGCCACTCCACGGCCCGCGCACCCAAACTCCCTCCTCCATGAGGTTTCCTGAGGCGTCCTGGCTTTTGGAGTCCTTCGCACCCGCCTGGATTCCGGCTCGGACGTCGGGACTGAGGCTTGATACCCACTGTGCACCTTCTCTACCAGGTTCCGTCCCCCACCAAGTGCCACAACAGTAGAAAGAGAAACACAGATGCGCGCGGCAACTCCTCCCCACACCGTCCCTGGCCAAGGAGTCTGAGCCACCAGCTGGGACACGGCCACCTCCTGGGGCCTGGAGTAGAGAACAGAAAACAAGGCAATTCCCATCCTTTTTCTGGTCACATTAGGAGCCCCCCATCTCCAGCTCTTGCACCGGCTCAACACACGCAGGCCTGGACTGGTCTTCAAGTCCAGCCAGGAGACTCCAGGGAGGAAACCGGGACACTTCCCGCCAGCTCGGGGCTCCTCCGCGTTCCACACTCCACGGGCCACGTTCCCAAAGTCCACAGGGCACTGCCGCATGCGCGGCGTCTGGGAAGTCCAGCCACGCTCGGCGGACAGGCCGGGCAGAGGAGGCGGACTCCCATCGCGCCCAGAACCAGAACCGAGTCTGACCTGCTTCCTCCGGCTGTCTCGCGGCAACCCGTGGCCTCTGCCCCCGTAGTTCATTCGCCCACTTGCACATGATTGTGCCAGGCTCCGCTCTGGTGCGCGTCCTTCTGCACCTGCGCGAGAGCTGCTGTCTTCCGTGAAGGCGGAGGGGACGCGGGGTCGTTGGACACGTGCCATCAGAGGGCTGCCCACCAGGTCTGCACCCGCGGGCACCCTTGGGACGCACCGGCTCTCAGACCTGCATGTTCTCCCCATCGCCAGGCAGCAGCTCGCGGGTTCACATCTGTCCGACGGGAAGGTATCGGGCAGAGCGTCTTTCCGTTTAACGCGCGTTTCCCGAATGAGGGGTGGATGTCTGTCTGCGTCTTTCCAAACACCTGCTGGCTTTCAGGTCCCCCTACGTGCACTCCCGCTTCCATCTGGGGCCTGTGCTTCTGTGGGGTGCTGCCTCGTCCCGACTGGTCTGTGTGCTCTAGATGACAGCGTCAGCTGCGGCGAGCCCCCCGGGGCTCCAGCGATCTCTTTGCTTTGCCCCCAGCGCCCTTCAGGGCACATGAGGCCCCGCTCCAGGGGTGCGTCCTGCCTTCCCTTCTGCAGGGCGGTGTAATCGAATACTTCTGCTTGGGCCTCATGGTTTCCTCTTCCACAGCTGCTTCTGGAGGCCCTTCATCGCCTGCGGGTCCTAAAGAGGTTCCCTGGTTTACTCTGTTACAAGGAAAGCCTGTCCCCGCATTCAGCCCCAGGAAAGCCTGTCCCCGCGCTTTCAGCCCAGGGGAACGAACTTAGTTTTTCTCCACGAAGTGAGCTTATCTCCAACACGATCGCTGAAATAATCCCTCCTTTCTCTATGGAGTCATCCTGCCGTCTCTACCCCGGACCCTAGGATCTCAGGTGTTCTGTCCATCTGCTCTTAGGCTGACACACTCTTATTTCCTGCCATCATTGCTTCCTAAACCCATTGCCCTGACTTGGCAGTGCGTCTTCCGTCCGGTCGTTGCTCGGTAGGTCCCGAGGCCGTGCTCTTGGCTGCATCTGGTTTCGGAAGGCTCGACTCCTCGCGCAGCCTCCCTTCACCGCCCCCGCAGCTTTGCTCATCAGTTTCTGGTCTCGGAGTGGATTTGGCCAGCTAACCAGACGGCTCACGGACGCTCAGGAGGCCGGGCTCCGCTCCGGGCTTCCCGGCTCCGCCAGGCTGGCCCGTGCCGGGCATCGGTGCTGGCGGTCTGAGCGAGCGTGCGTCTCAGCTCCGTGCGCGCCGGGCAGCCCCACTGCGGCAGCTAACAGAGCCTCGTCCCCTGCTGCCTTCCACGGGGCGCTGGACTGCGGTCAGCCCAGGCTCTGTGCCTCCCTCCCTCCCTCCCTCCCTCCCTCCCGGCCCCACGGCCTTCTGTTCTGTTCTCTCCAGGGCGTGTCCTGTGGGGTGACCTTACTCAGGCTGCTGGAGAGCCGGGTGCTTCCCGCGCTGCGGACATGCCGCCCAGCTCGTCGGGCCTCTCTGGGCGTCCCTCTGCGGCTTCCCCTCCCGTCTCCCCCACCTGCCTCCGCTACAGCACGTCTCCCCTTGAGGCCGAGATTCAAACGCAGCCACCGCACTTTCCTAAAACTCCGTCTCTGTTTCAGATCTGTTTGGCCATGTCTAGCAAGCCTTTATCTTCCGTCGTTTTCTGCTTGTCTTTGTGTCTCTTCAAATATCTCATGCGCGATCACTTGGTGCGAAGTGTACTTGTTAATCCCAGTCTCTGAGGATCCTGGGAGCCTGGACGGGCTGTGGGTCGGCTCTCACTCGTCGGCTTCTTTCCTCAGAACCTCCAACACGGTTTCGCTCGCCCGGCTGCATGCTGAGGGCCCAGGGTGCGAATCCCACCGGCCGGGAGCTCCCCGATCGCTGCTGCTCGGACCGGGGGGCAAGGCTGCCCGCAGGCCCTGCCAGAGCCCAGGCTAAGCACATCCGGTCCAGTGCTCCCTCCTCCGGCTCTGGGAACATGGCCCTGACCCCAGCCCGGCCCCCCAGCCCGGCCCCCCAACCCCCAAGGTCTTGGGTGCTTCCTGCCCATCATTCTGGCTATCGGCTCAGTTTTGGACACTCCTGCTCTAGAGACTTCCCTTACTGTTCTCAAGCACCAGCCACACATCAAAAAGTACATTTATCATCATCTACCCAAGAGCTGCCCCTGTTTTCAGGCTTCTCGGGAGCACTAGTCCGCACGTGGCGGATGTTGGCTGGCTGGTGTCCCCTCGGCTGACCCCAGAGTGATCTGGAGCAAGTCGCGGTCCCTCCCACCGTCCTCATCCCCTCTCCCACGGCACTGTGTCCTGGGATCCTGTGAGGCCGCACCCCGGTCCCCTCCCCCACAGGCTGCTGCACAGGGGACCCTCTCCTCCTTCTGACCATAGGAAGCAGGCGTCCCTCTCAGCGCAGTGTCACCCTGCTTCTCCTCCCCGACCCTCGCTGCCCTGATGCCGGGGACGCCTCCCCAGAGCTCGCACTGCTCCCCGCCCCAGGCCCTCCTCCTGGCACCGGATGCCCCCATCCTCCCCACCCTGCCTTCTGGCTCTGACCGCTTGGCCCCACGACCACGCAGGGCTCGGGTGGCAGGAGAGGGGCGCCGCAGGGCTCCCAGCAGTCACTGTTGGAAGAAGAGCTCCTGGCTCCCCGGGTGCTGGGAACAATCGTGGGGGACAGCACAGGCTTCTCTCCCACCCAGCACCCTACACCTCCATGTTTCCAGCAGACCCAGCACCCTACGGCCTCCATGTTTCCAGCAGACCCAGCACCCTACGGCCTCCATGTTTCCAGCAGACCCAGCACCCTACGGCCTCCATGTTTCCAGCAGACCCAGGCCCAGACTCGCCTGCATCTGCGGCTCCCCAGCCTCCCCCACCCCCGTCCGCCCTTCCCGCTCTCAAGGCCTTCCAGCCCTCCCTGCCCACCACCACTCACTGGCGACGTCCTCCAGCTGGCCCTTCTCCGGGATGCCCCCTCGCTTTCCTGGCTGGGCTGTCTGGGGGATTCCTGGGCCTGCAGACAGCTGCTGGGGTGCACGGGCACAAGCAGACCCCCAGCACCTTGGGAAGATCAGAGCCGTGTCCCACGTCTGACTCACGTGTACCAGGTGACTATCACACTTCCAGAGCTTTCTGAGCAGCCGCGGATGCCGTCCCCAGAGCAGCCACAGGGAGCAAGGGGGCCGTGGGACACAGCCGGATGACGCCTCAGCAGGGGCTGCAGCAAGTGGGAGGCTTTGCGGTGCCCAGCTGGAGACCGGAGAGAGAGTGGAGGGGACGGGGAGGGAAGCAGGAGGAGGCATCAGGCCGGGCAGCACAGGGAGGGGGGCACTGGGCCTCAGGGCCACGGATGGGGCAGGAGGAGAGGCCGGAGGAGAGGCCACGATCGGGGTGGGGGAGCTAGATCAGGCCAGGCACGTGGGTGGGTTTCAGAAGTTGGGGAGTCGGGAGTCACTGGATCTGGGAAGCACTGGGAGGGCGGGGGGTTCCCGGGCTGACCCCCAGGGCTCTGGGCTCTGCACCGGCAGGCGAGGTTTCGGCTCATGCGGCCGCAGAGGGGCTGAGGACCCGTGTCCTGAGTGTGTGGGTCTGGAGAGGAGGTGCCCTAGCCTCACAAAGGAGCGGTGGCGGGAGGGTCCAGGGCAGGGAGAGTCCGGGGAGGCCAAGGGGAACTCTGTCGCATTTAATAGAGAAATAACACAGCATATGCCGGGAGCAAGGCCGACGGCCAGGGCTCAGTGAGTCACAAACTGGGAGAGTTCACTGATGTCTTCCAAAACGCTGTGGTAGAATCTGCGGCTCATGGAGTCTGGGTCCTGCCTCAGGACCTCCACATCTGCGGCAGAGACCCCCAGCTGCTGCACAGTCCCCCAGGGTGGGGTAGGGCAGGGTGGGGGGCACTGCTCTGTCCCAGGAAACCATGCGGGGTGTGGGGGAGACCCGGCCCTGTCCCAGGTAAACATGCGGGGTATGGGGGGCACTGCCCTGTCCTGAGAACCCATGCGGGATGTGGAGAGACCCAGCCCTGTCCCGGGAGCCCATGCGGGGTGTGGGGGTCACAGCCCTGTCATGGAATGGAATCTCAAGGACAAGATGGTGGCCCGCCATTGGGACAGGCTGGTTGAGGGCCCTTCTTAGGAGTCGGGAGACAAAGAGGTGCCAAGTCCTCGGCCCTCGGGGCTCACGTTTCCTGAGGACATTCAGGTGGCCCTTCTTCAGGGAAAAGCAGAGGTCGGTGAAGTAGTCGTGCAGGAGGCCCCCTGGGGCAGAGAGGGAAGGCGGGGGGTTCACGGGCGCCTCTGGGGCCTGAGGGAGGCCGGCTTGGCAGGGACAGGAGGTCAGTGCGTGGCTGATGGGACCAGCACCCCCACCCCCTCCGGGGCTGCCCTCCCGGGGTACAGGAGCGCAGCCCGCAGTGTGGCAGCCCCAGCAGTGGGCGGTGGGGGGGGTGCTGGCGGGCAGCATGGTGGGGGCGGGGGACCGCAGGCCGGCACGTACCGATGAACTTCATGGCCGTCCGCCTCAGGTTTCCGTGGGGGCTGGCGAGGTAGTGCAGGGCCTGCATGAGGAACTGGGGATAGCTGCCGAAGTTGCTCTCCACCTGGGAGGGGAGGGGGACAAGGGCGCCCATGGCTACCCCGCCTCTGGGACCTGGCTCGGCCTGAGGCCCCAGCCAGCCCAGCAGTCCCAGGCCTGGAAGGACAAGGGACCTACCCTAGTCTGGGTCCAGGCCCGGGGACCTGGTTCCTGCAGGGGAGCGGGGAGAGGGGCTGGCAGGGCCCAGCTCTGGGGCAACAGCTCCTACTCCTACCCACCTCGAGTGGGAGCCCGTGTCAAGGAGTCTGGAACATTCCCCGTGGTCCCCACCACCCAACACTGTCCTGAACATCCTCCGGAGGCCACCTGTGCCCCTCCCAGCGGAGTGCCAGCGAGGGCCTCAGGGTGGGTCGGAGCCATGAGCAGGTAGCGAGATCTGCTGAGATCCTGGGCTCCAGGCTGGGGCCGGGCCTCACCACCAGCCTCGCACATTGTCCCGGGCACGGACTGTGAGCACCCCGGGGTGGGCGGCTGCTCTTCCACACAGTGGGGAGCTGGCCCAGGACAGGCGCCACCCCTGAGGGGGTGCACCAGGAGACACACACAGCCCAGCTGCCCAGGCCAGGCGTGACAGATGACATATCCTCGCCGACAGAGCTCCGGCCACCAGCAAGCCTAGCTGCGCCACCCAGCCGCACTCCAGGGACCACCATGTCCCCAGACCTGGCCGGCCCGAGATGACATTTCTTCCTCTTGGGCCAAACCCCAGAACTCCTGCAAAGTGTGGACGTGGGGAACCCTGCAAACCCAGGGATGTCTCCGTGGGGAAGAACAGGAAGGCAGGCTGCGGAGTGGAAGGCAGTGGGGACCCTGTCGCTCCCCCAACACCTGAGCTGCCCCAGGACCCCACAGTCCCACAGAGGCCAGTGGCGAAGGCTCACACGCGTCTCAAGAAGTCTGTAGCTGCTGAAATACACGGAGAAACGGACTCTGTGGGATTCACGACTGCAACTTAGTAACTTAGCAACTTAGTAACGCAACTTAGTAACTGTGGGATGTTGTAGGAGACGCGCAGCTCAGCAATCAGTAAGACTCGGAAAGTGGGTATCGGGCTTCCACGCGATCTCTACATCTCTTCCGCCACGCGCGAGACAGGGGTCCCCCGGGGTGGACATGGGTGGGATGGAACCAGAACCGGAAGCCCCCACGCGCCGTTTCCATGGAGGGGCACCCCACACACTGGGCATCGCACACGCCGCTGCAGTCTAGGCCATGGAGGCTCCGAGGGGAGGCAGAGGGAAGCCGACCGGGGCTCTGCCTCTAGCGGCCTGAGTGAGGAGCAGGAGAAGAGACCTGAACTGAGCAGTGGCAACACGACACAGACCCGTGTGAGGACCGGGAGCCGCACGGATACCACACAACCGGGGCAGCTCAGAGCCGAGACGTCAAATCCGTCCCAGGTCCTACCAGTGGGACGGTACGAAGGACTCCAGAATGGGGTGCACACAGAGAAGGACCCGCAATCCGGAATGACAGGGTACAAGAGCAGGAAAGAGACCATGGGCCACGGGCAGAAAGCACCCATAACAAGACTTGACGCCGAAATTCCAGGGATGGGGCTCCTTGGAGCAGGTAATAGCCCAGTGGGTGACCATAACCTCTGGGGACACCTGGAGCTCACCAGAAGAGAGCCAGACGCAGGAACCATGGCCAGGCCAGACCAGTGGAGGCAGCAGGAGGATGGGCGCCAGCAGGGGTGCTGAGGGTGGGGCAGAGGTGGGCGTGGAGAGCAGAGGTGGAGAGAAGACAGTGTGGGGCCACGTGGAGGAACCGTGGCACGCAGAGGGTCACCAGCACGGGCCCCAGGCAGGGAGCCCGGCCCTGCGCTAGATGGGGGGACACAGCCAACCCGCCCCTCCATCCCCACTGCAGATATAGCTCCTGGCGGCTCCCGGCACCAGCACCGTCCCCGAGCAGCGAGGGGTTCCTGCACCACACCCAAGTGCAAACCGCGGCCAAGTAACGCGCCTTCTATGCAAAACTCAAAACCGCACGACCAGAGACATGGGGAGCAAAGTCACAAAGTCATAAACTGGGCAAAAACACAAGTAACTCATCGAATTCCCACCCTGGAGCGCGCAAATGGCTCATCGTTCACACGCATCCGAGCACACAACCCACAACACCGCACCCGCTGGGCGGAGGGCTCCTCCCCTCGGCCCCGCCAAGCCCCACCGGCCCCCCAGTGAGGCGGCGCCCACGGGAGACATTGCTCTCCGGATGCTGAGGAGCCCGGCCTCCCTCTCTCTGGGCACCTTCGCCCCCAGACTGCCGGCCTTCCCCCTATCCAGGAAAAATGCACCATCTCCCAGCCTCAGTAGGACCCTCGGACCCCCACAGCCCCACCAGATCCCGCGGGAGCCAGGTGAGACAGCCTGCCTGCTGCCCAGCCCAGGAGAAGCCTGGACTGTGGTCCCCAAGCTGCAGGGAGGGGTCCCCGGGGCCAACTGAGAAACAAGCCAACTGCTAGAAATCAGAGCTGTGGTTTCTTGTTCACGTACCCCGTGCACGTCCAGCTCCTTCCCGCCCTCCTCAGAAGGAGATGTGGGCCCAGCGATGTCTGGCGTGAGGGGGAGTCCTGGGTTCTGGGAGAGACGGGGCCCTCCCCAGGTCTGTGCTGGGGGCGTCAGTAGGGGCCGACCCTCGAAGGCCCTCTCACCTGCAGCCGTGGGCTCTGCCGCGCCCCCAGGGAGCCAGCCCTCGGTTCACGCCCACGGGACTGAGTCAGAGGCCCCCCACGGGCTTTCGGTGCCTAGTCCGCCCTGTCCAGGTGCCCCTGAGAGGATGCCGGGCCTAAGCCCATTCCCAGAGGCCCCCAAGGGTGCACGGCCCCCATCTGTCTCCCTGGCCTCCTTGCGTCTGGGGCGCTGGCGTCTTACCATGTAGATGAAGATGTCGTTCTCGGCGCCCAGGCCGTGGCCCCATGCCAGCTTCCCGAACAGCTCCTTCCGAAACTCCCACTTGAGCAGAATGGCGCAGCGCAGGAAGGTGAGCTTGGTGTTCTGGGCCGCCGCGGGGAGAGACGGCCTCAGGCTTCCCCTCGTCGGTGCCCTCTCGGCTACGCCCCAACCGGCTGGCCTTCTGCAGCCACGCTGGCCCGGAGACCCTGAGGGTCCCGGCCCCATAAGGTCCCCACTCACAGCTGTGCCCATGCCCTGGAGGGGCTGCACCCCCCGGGGGGGGGGCGCCCCACAGTAGTGTCTTTACCCACCCGTACACCCCATGGTTGTTCCACTGTAATTCACAGGAAAACTCAAGGGGCCAGTGGTCACTCTGGCCACCCTGGCTTCCTTCCTGACCTTGAGGGGTTCTCTCAAGGGCTGGGGGACAGGCTTCCAGGAAAGGAAGACCGGCCCCTCACTCACCAGCACCCAATAGCCACAGCCTGTAGTCCTAGAACCTGCTAAAAAGTCTCTGTGTCCCTGTGATGGGCAGAGCCCTGTCTCTCCAGATAACCCCCACGACTTCGGGCTGTGGGGTCTCTACGGAGCTGATTCAGGTCACAGGGTTCCTGGGTGGCCCTAGGGTAGCCTGACCTGTGTCGTTATAAGGACAAACTTGGACACACACACAAGGAGACAACCACGTGAGGACACAGGGAGAAGACGTGGTCTACATACCCAGGAGAGAGACCCTCAGAGGGGACCAGCCCTACCCCATCCTAAACCCCACAGCGGCCTGAACTAAGACAGGCCTGTTCCCAAGCGGGCCTCTCCCTGCCTTGCTGAGTTGAGGGGGCACTGGCCCACCCAGTCTTTAAGCAAAGCCTCAGTTTCCTCCTAAGTGTACCTGCCACGTGCTCACACTATGTCCGCAGGAGACTGAGCGTCCCCCAACAACAAGGAGGCCCTGATCACAGGCCAGCCCGGCACTGCCCCTCCTCCTGTCGTCTGCTGGCTCCTTCACCAGGAGGCTTCTGGCCTCTGGGCACCTTATCCTAAGACTGCAGCTTCCCAGGCTTTATAAGCCCGCCTCCCCCAGGCAGCCTCTCCGGCTTACCCTGACACTCTCCTCCCAACGCCCACCTGTACCCCTCCACCTCCCACCGGGCGGGCCACACTGCTGCTTCTCCTCGTCTCCCGTCCACCCCCCTTCACTGCTTCCTCAGCCACGCGGGCTCTCAGCAGCCACCTGGCGCCAGGCCCTCTCTCCGGCGGGAGGGTCTCCTCTCCCGGTCAGGCCACCAGAGAAGGGTCCAGGGGGCTGGCTCCCGGGGGGATGGCCTGGAACTGAAGGAAGCCCCTCTGTGGAAAGAAGCAGTTTCCTGCGGGCTCGGGAGGGACCGGGGAGGGGGCAGCGGGCAGGCCTGCCTGGGTAGGGGTGAGGGGTCCGAGCCAAGGTGTTAGGTGACTGGAGGCCCCGCCTGGACAGCCGGTCGCTGGGGCCGCTTGCCTGTGCGGGCACGAGGCCGGGCGCTCACCATGGCCACGTCGGGGCAGGGGTCTGCCAGGTGGAAGAGCAGCGGCACCAGGGTCTGAAAGGCGAAGGTCTTGAGCTCCGGCCGGTACTTCCTGCCGCCGCTGTGGAGCACGTCTCCGAACAGCGAGATGGCTCCTCCCCGCACCGGGGCCTGCTCCTGCGGGACGCGGGGAGCCCTCAGCCGCCGGCAGCCCGCCCCCCACGTGCCCCTTCTCCCACCTTCTGCTCTGGCCCCAGATGTGCGGCGGCGGCGGCCTGGGCCCTCACGCCCGCCCTCTCCAGCTCACCGCTCGGACCTCGCCCTCGCCGCACTGACACTCGGGCCTGCCCCACCCGCAGAGCTGCCTTCTCTCCAGCCAGTCCCCGCTCCTCCCACCACCCCCTCCAGTGGCTGCAGCCCTCCTGTTGTGTTGGCTTCTTGTCCCCAAGGTTTCGCTCCGCTGTTCCGCAGGTTCTCTGTGGGGCCTGCCGGGTCGGAGCTGGGGCATGGGCCCTGCGGCCAGACCTGGGGCGGTCAGCTCTGGGACCCTGGCCGGATGGGGACCCTTCGGGCTTCGGGTCATCCTGGGGCCTCCACGGCCTTACCCAGCCTCAGTGACCGCAACTCACTTGCCGCTAGACACCTGCCCACCGGGCCCTGTGGTCCCTCCCGGCCTCGCCCCTCCTGCAGCCTCTGCCATCAGCTCCTGGGCTGCACTAGGAATCCCCCAGATCAGGGCCGTTCCTGCCCCGTCCCCCAAACCCCCCATCCCCCTTCCCCGCTCTGGTCCCCAGCCTCCCGGTGGAGGAGCAGGTGGCTTGGGCAGGGTCACAGTCCAGGCAGCCCAGAGGCCTCCCAGAAACTTCCACACTATGGGCCGTTCCTGCAGGGCTCCAAAAGACTCCACCCACAAGCCCCGGGGTGGGGGCGGGGAGCGGCTTCGGCTGCTCCGATTGGCTGCGCCGCCGCCCCGCCCTCACATCCTCGAACAGCGGCAACAGGTGCTGGGCCATCTTGAGGCTGGCAGCGCCGACGCCCTGAGTCCCCAGGTGGTGCAGGATGTCGCCCAGGATCTCCATCAGGCCCATGAGGTCCTTGGGCTCCGGCTTCCCGAAACGGTCCAGCAGCCCGGCCAGCCGCCCACGGAGCAGCACCACCTGTGGGGCAGGGAGGAGACACTGCTCCCTCCCGAGTGTCCCACCACCTTTTGCACCTGCCCCCTCCCCCGTCCGCCTCCCTGATGGAGCCCGAGGCTCTCTGCCCGCCCCGCCTCCCTGTCACAGGCAGCAGGGGACTGAGCCCTGGCCCTCGCAGGAACACCCAGCTGGTGTGGCTGTCAGGTGAGGAAGCCAGAGTCCCAGCCCCCCAGCCCACTCCATTCCAGAAACCCTAGGAGCCCCAACCCTAGGCGATACAGCGGGGTTTCCTAAAATTCCCACCCTCTCCTGCCTTGGCCTGACTTGACTTCCCCGCCTGCCCCGTCCAGTGGGACCATCAGAGGGGGCTCTTCTCAAATGCCTCCTCCCTGCAGTCCTCCCGGCCTAGGAGCAGGCAGACCCTCGTCTCACCTTCTTGGGGTGCATGAGCGTGCTGCTGAGGCCCTTCAGGCTCATGGCCCGCACCAGCTGGTTGGGGTGGTTGAGGCCCAGGCTCAGGACGCTGTCCATGGTCCTCCGGGACACGTACTGGGTGAGCTCTTGGCTGTTGAGAAACTGAGCAGTGTGGGCACCGTCAGCTGCCCGGGACCAACAGCCTGTAGCCCATGGAAGGTCGTGGGCTTGGGCTTAAGGAAGCATTTCCAGGCAGCAAGCGGGTCGGATGCAGAAAGCATAAGTTAGGAAGCCCCATATCGGAGGGTCCCAGAGGAAGTCCGATTCTCAGAACTTCTTAAGGGCCAGAGGACAGAGGCCAGGAGCAGGGGCAGGGCAGAGCCAAGGAGGGGCTGACCTCTGTGATGAGGAGAATGGCCACGATGTTGTCCCGTTCCTCGGAGCTCTTCAGGGAGATGACTGCCTGCCCCAGGACAGCCTTGACCTCACAGTCATAGTGGGCCATGGCCCTGGAGAGGCAGACACAGGGGCCCCAAGGTCTTCATCCTTGGCCAGGGGTTCCCCCAGCTCCCCTCGACCTTGCTCAGTCAGAGACACGGCCCAGGCAACAGAGTCTAGGGGACAGGTCCCAGGGTGGGGTGCAGGGGGGCCCCATGAAGGATGCCGTCTGGGCCGGGCCCCCCAGGCTCGCACCCACCTAGCCAAGAGGGTCACTCCCTCGGTGTAGGTTTCCAGATGCTCGAAGAGCTCCCAGCCTCGCAGCAGCTTGAGGTGGGCAAACACCTCCCAGTAGCTGGTGGTCCAGAAGAGACCCTTCAGGGCCTCCAGGCAGGTCCTAGGGGCACATGGGGTGTTCAGAGGAGGTGAGTCAGGGCTCCGGGCCGGGGTCTCCTTGGCTGCGTCCTCCCTCTCCCAGGGGAGCGGCCCCCTTCCAAGCTGTGTCTCGGGATTCCTGCTCCTGCCGGCTTTGGGCTGCTGGGCCCCTGCTCCCTGGACTGCGAGCCTCCAGCCGGGGCCGGAGTTCACCCCTTTCTGGGTCCCCAGCACTTAGCTCCGGGCCTGAGGCCCACCAGGGCCTTCCACGGGTGCATGGAAGGATGTCCTGGGGCCCGGGGGTGTGGGGCTGGGCCCCGAGGACGCATTAGAGGTCTCACCTGCAGGGGCTGAGGGGCTGCACCTCCAGGACGTCCTCCTCGTAGTCCGAGATGGCGTCCTCCGCGCCCAGCTCGAACAGGTAGCGCAGCTGGGTGAGCAGGCCCACGAGGATGCCCGCGAAGGCCCAGCGCATGGTGGCCTTGTACTCCCGGGTGTACAGGAGCTCGTAAATGGTGCCCAGGGCCTGCAGCAGGCGACAGAGCCGGACTCAGGTAGGCGACACCCTCACCGGGGCCAGCGGAGCGGCTGCCACCCCACCCCACCCCCACCTGGGCCCCTGCTGCCTGTGCCTGGTGGGGGCTGGGAGGTCCATGCGGGGTTCAGCATCGAGGGTCCTCGGCGGCTCCTGCTGAGACCCTCCTCGGCCGGGTCACCCGGGGATCCCACAGGGCACCCCCCCCCCCGATGACAACGCCGCTGCAAGGGGGAGCGCTGGGGGCACACTGAGGTAGGGGTGGGGGTGGGGGCAGGAGGCTCACCAGCAGGGAGATGAGCTCCGCTGGCTGGCTGAGCCTGAGGAGTTCCCCGGCGGGCCGCAGCTTCAGCTTCGCGTAGAGCAGGGTGAGCACCCTGCGAGCCAGCCGCGGGCTGCCAGCCAGGGCCTTCCACAGCGGCAGGACCTGTCTGGGGAGGCAGGGAGCCCAGTCCCGCCAGGGGTGGAGGGGCCGGTGGGATGCGACCCTTGGGACAGCAGGGTGACCTGCTCTCCATGTGGGAGTGGAGACGATTGGGCCCGTCGGGAGCAGGGAGCCCTTCCCTCGGGGAGCCCAGGAGGCTGTGTCCTAACGGCCAGTGAGGTCTCCCCCCCACCCCCGCTCAGAGCCCGCCGCCCAGGCTAGCTTTCCCTAACGTTAGAGCTCGTTCCCACTGTGCTGCCGTCCCTTGCCAAGTGACCTTCCCCAGCTTGCTTCCTCCCTGGGGATATGGGGCTTAGCCCTCAGGCGCCTACGATTAGATGGACTGGGCAAAGGGGCACCACACTGGGTGTGTCTCCCTGGGCTCATGGAGCTGCATGCCTGGGAGCCCTGCTCCCTATTGAAGGGACTGTGGCCCTGTGATGGCCTGGTGCTCCCCAAGAGGATCTCGGGGCCACCCTGGTCCCCCAGTGCCCCTCAGACTTTAGGCCACACACACACAGACCACTCAGGGGTGCTCTGACTGGGGCTACTCAGCAGCCCAGGGCCCCCCACTTTGTCCCGGGCTCCAGCTTCCTGCTGCTGGGCCCATCTGACATCCCCAGGTGCAGCTTAGAAACCAAACACTAGCCCCAAGGGGCAGTGGGGCAGTCTGTGTGTGGGCCCGGGGCCCTGGGCAGCTGGGGGTGCTGCTCGGGGCCAGTTAGGTCCTTTGGGTCACCCAGCTGACCTCCGAAGGCCCCTGCTGTTTGGCCTCTAAGGGCTCTCTGAGTCTGAGGGACATTTCCATGCCGAAAGCCCCCTTCCTGGGACTGTTGGAGCCTCCTTTAACTCCTCAGCCTGGGACAGCTCCAGGAACCCCCTGGCCTTGGTTCCAGAGTCTGGGAAGGAGAGGACAGTCAGGCGAGCGTCATGCACACAGCGGCCTGCTCAGGAGCGGGGATCTGCCCAGAGACAGTGTGTGGTGTCTGGTGTGGTGGTCCAGGTGCAGGTGTCTGCCTCAGGGTCATGGGCACAGGGGACCTACCTCTCGGAGGGGTGACACAGGGACAGTATCACCTCGACAGTCTCTTGGGTGTACTGAGTCCCCAACACCGTCACCACCTTCATCATGGTCTGCAGGACGCCCTTGAACACGACAGAGGACAGCTCCTGGAACAGGCCCTGCAGGATCTCGGCCACCTGCGCGTGGAAGGGCAGCGGGGAGCGGGTGTCACCGTGACCGCCTGGGGCAGGGCCCTGGGGCCTCGAGGAGGCTGGGCTGTGCAGTGCTGGGTGCTGGGGTGCCCTCCAGACCCACTGCCTCTGGGGCTCGGTGGCGCTGGTGACAAGGTGTACGCGCCCACGGGCTCACAGACACCCCGGAGGCGCAGCTGGCTGGCTGCCCGCTCCCGACCCGGGGCTGGCCACGGGTTGGCACCTGCTCTGTCTTGACGCCGCGGTCCTCCAGGAGCAGCAGGAGCAGCTGCGAGGCCAGGTCACACTGCGGCTGGCTGCGGCTGCCCAGCCTCTCCAGGAGGGTGAGGATGAGCTGCGTGTGCTGGGCCACCGTCAGGCTCTTGTTCAAGGCCTGGGCAGGGGTGCGGGGTGGGGGTGGTGAGGGGCCGCGGGAGCACTAGCCCCAGTCTCTCCTATGTGGGGCGAGGAGAGGGGACACGGCTCTGACTCCGAAGCGGAGTGAGAGCCAGGACGCAGATGTGCAGGGATCCCCGAAAGGTCCCCGCCCGGTACCCGTCTCCCCACCAGACTGTTGGTGACCCTCCTCCCCAGTTTGGCTCCATGGTGCCTGCTGGCTGCCGCTGCTCCAGACAGTTGCTCTGGGGATGGTGATGGGAGCAAGCGGTTCTATCAGGAGGTCAGGGCCCCCCAGGAGCTGCCTACAGCCAGGGACTGACTCGGAGTCCAAGGGCCCAGCCGATGTTTCGGGGGTGCGCTTCACACCACTGCACTCCTATGGCTTGAGCTGAGACAACCCGCCCTCGGCTCATCCCTGCCCACTCTCGCTTCCCTCCCTCCTCCTGAGCACACAGCTTCGTCCTCGGAACTGCCTGGGAACCCCTGTCCCGGGCTGTTTCCAGGGACCCCAGCAGGGCAGCAGGCTTCTGGGCACCCTGCTCCCCGGGAGGGCTCCCGGGAGGTGTCCATCTGTGTGGAGGCAGCAAGGGATTGTGGCTCCCATCCCAGCAGGCTGGGGTGGGGCCCAGGGACCCTTGCATGGAAGGCAGGGAAACCGAGGCAATGGAAGGGTTAGACACCCCCGTTGGAGGCCATTGGAGGCAGAGCTTGGACTTGAACCCAAACCCTTGACTCCAAGTCTTCCTTGAGGGGAAGATGGGCCTGGGAAGGAGACACCCAGCACAGGGAGGGCAGCGGCCAGATTCCGCCGCAGGAGGGGAAAGCGCGGGACAGTCCCAGCAGACCCACTAGTTACCCTCCTGAGGAACCACAGAGGAAGGGCCATGAGGGGCGCCATGGGGCAGAGGTCAAGGAGAACCTTAGACCCTGATTCGGCGGGGGGTGTGGGGGTGGGTGCTGTCTCCGGATCACAGGCGGGAGGGTGCGGCATCCGGCCCGCTCCACCTGCCCAGCCCCGCACAGAGGTTAGAGAACTGGAGGGGGCGCTCCAGGGGTCGCCGACCCGCCGTCCCTCCCCCGGCCGCAGCAGGCCCACCTTCACCACGTTGTAGCACTTCATCTCCGACTGCCTGCGGGCCTTTGCCTCGAAGTTCTTCATCTTATTCAGAAGAATGAACTGCTCTGTGCTCCCTGAGGAGGGGCATCTGTCAGGAGGCTGGGACCCTGGCGGCCGCAGTCCCCTGGGGGTCCCGCTCACCCTTCTGCTGGATCAGAAGCTGCAGAAGCAAGTAGACGCTCTGGCGGGAGTGGCTTCGCGTCACCAGGTCTTTGTCCCTCCACAGCAGCACCAGCAGGCCGAGCTGGTGGCCCAGCAGGGAGGGTGTGGCCTCTTCCTGGGGAGGCGGCGCGGTGAAGCTGGCCTGGCATCCAGACACCTCGCCCCGCGCCCCTGCTCTCCGCTGTCCGTCCCTCCGTCCTGGGCCCGGTGTCTCGCGGGCCAGGCGTCTCAGTTGGCCTGCGCTCTTTGTTCCCTGGGCCAGAATGCGCTCCCTCTGCCACCCAGTCTCTCTCCCCACCCTCCAGGTCTTTGCTCCAAGGCAGCCTTGCCAGCAAGATCTACTGGACTGTGCTATTTGAACCGCAACCTCTGCCCCAGGACAGGGGCACCACAGGGCCTTTGTCTCATCCCCCAGCCCCATGCCTAGCCATCGGATGCTCAGCGAATAGTGACTGCGAGACTTGGGGCAGAGGGGCGGGTCCAGCAGGGAGGCAGGAGGGCCCTGGGGGGTGTCCTGGCTCCTCCCCTCACTCGCGCCCCTCCCCTCCTCCCCGCAGGTGCAGGGCGGGGTGGGGGGCACTCACAGTGAGTGTCACATAGTCCACCGTGTACTGGAGGAGCAGGAAGGTGGTCTGTGCCGCCCTCTTGCGCTCGTGGCTCTTGTCTGACTGAAGCCAGGGCTCCATGTGCTGCGATGGGGAGGGAGCCCGTGGGCCCTCGACACCCACATCTGGCCTTGGATGCGGCCGCTGGGGCCAAGTCTCAGTGGGGCGATCGCAGCCTGTCCTGCCCCCGGGTGGTTCACCCCTCCAGGTCTGGCCACAAGCCCAGCTCCCTTGGGTGAGGCCAGGTCTGGGACCACGGGACCCAGAAAGCCCTGGGGCGGCCTCAGCGGCCTCAGGGGCTACAGCAGCGGTGGGGGGGGGCAGACAGACGGGAGCCGGGAGGTTTGAGGGCCTGTCTCCAGGCTGTGTGAGGGCCCACATCCCATAGTGAGTCTGTCCCTCCCCGCCCTCAGGGACACCTGCATTGGAGGTCACCAGATCAAGGTCACCTGATCCTTGAAGAGTCCTTAACTCTTTTGAAACGCCCGCCGTTGCCTTCGTGAGAGGACAACCCCCGGAGCCCTCGGGTCAGCGGCGTGGGGCACACGGGCCGGCCTGCCCCGCCCCCGTATAGGAGGGACCACCCTGAGTGGACCTTAGAGAGTCCAAGGCCCAGATCGAGCTGGGCAGCGAGAGCCGCCAGTTCTGCGCCCTGTGCTCCGCCAGCCCGCACCTGCAGCAGGAAGCCCATCTCGTCCATGCTCTTGTTCTCGGAGAGGAAGCTCTGGAGAAGCAGGTCCAGCGCCTGCATGGATTTCTTATACAGCGCCTGACGGGGCGGAGTGTGACCCTGCGTCAGGGTGGCTACACCAGCCTCTGTGGCCGACATGCTCGTCCTCCCTCCCCAGGGGCTCCAGGAACTGCCTCCGATGAGAGCTTGGTCACTGCTCCCTGCGGGGCTCGGGGAGATGTCTGTGACATCCGTGCTGGACCCTGTCCTCACCGTGGGCCCCAGGGAGGACGGGCAGCACCCTTGTGCCTGCCAGGTCTTCCCGTGCTAGCTGCTGCGGTGTTCCATCTGCCCCCAAGGCCTCAGGAGGGGACCGAGCCCAGGGAGCCACAGATGTCCCTGCGGGCACACCACCGGCCCAGGCTGCACCCCGAGGCACTCCTCCCAGCACAGAAACAGAAACCAGAAAGTACTCGGAACTGAGTGAGGACGAAAACACAATGTGTCAAAGTCGATCATCTCCACAGATACGCAAAAGAGTCTGACCCCATCCAGCATCCGCCTCGGCAAACGAGCTCAGGAAACCAGAATGAGAAGCGAACCTCCTCAGCCCGACGGGGAGCATCTGAGGGCCCACAGGAGGCCGCAGCCACGGCCCACGGGGCGCTGAGGTGGGGGCTGCCCCATCAGACACAGGGCAAGAGGATGTCTGCTCCCACCCGTGCCCGTCCGCGCGGCGCAGAAGATTCTAGCGAGTGCGGGAAGCCAAGGAGATAGGGCAGGCATCCACACTGAAGAGAAAGAAGGAGACCCTTTATTCCCAGAAGCCATGCATAGTCCTACAGAGTCTCCAAACGGCTCGTCAGTGGTTCAGCAGAGCTCCGGGAAGGTGTAGGATCAATGTAACGAAGTCAGTTGTATTCCTGCATACCGGCAATGAACAAGGGGAAAGGAAAATTTTAAATATTACTGGCAATATCAGAAAAGTATGCAAAATACACAGGAGAGAATCCAACGAAAGGCGTGCAAGACATCACACACGGAAAACCGGGGAGTTCTCGAGGGGCTCAGAGACCACCGAAGTGAACCGGTCGGCACGTCGAGTGCCTCGATTACAAGACAAGATGACTTCCGGACGCCAGTTCCCACCGATCTATCTACGGACTCAGTGTGCGTCTAGCAGAAGCCGACCTGCTGGTTCTGTAATTCAGATGGAAACACACAGAATCTAGACACGTGGAAACAGCTTTGAGAAAGATGAGCCAGTATGGAGGACTTCTACCACTTCCGAACTTATGCGAAGCTCCCAGGGCAGGACAGGGTAGCCTTAGCACAAGCAGATGGACAGAGCCAGGCGAGCCCGGGCGGCACAGGTGGGGAAGCGTCCGACCCTTGGTTTCATGCTCTCCGGGTCCTGCGATCAAGCCCGAGGTCAGGCTCAGCCTGGAGTCTGCCTAAGGCCCTGTCTCCCTCTGCCCCTCCCCGTCCTGTCCTGCTCCCTCACTCGCCCGCGCTCTCTTGCTCTCTCTCAAACAAATAAATCCTAAAAAACAAAATGAAACAAAGAACAGATCAACAGATCTGCAGACCAGAGTAGAGGCCAGAAACGGAAGCAGACATGTGATCAGTTGATTTTCTAGAGGCACAAAGGTGACCCAGGAGAGAAGGGATGGTCTTTTCCACCCACAGGCTGGGCTCTGGGTGGTCCTGGGTCAGCCAGTGTCCACACACAAGAAGCTAAGCTCCGGTCCAGATCATACCCGCATAAGAGCTCAAAACGTCATGGGCCTGAGGGTAAAACCTAGGAGACAAATCTTGGTGACCTTGGTTGAAGGAAAGAGTTCCTTAGTACAACCCAGGAACATGATCCCTGAACGGGATTGGCTGGACGGTTCACTGCCTGCTCTGCTTTATTTTCATGGGACCAAACCCAAAGTCCTCAAAGAATAACGATTCCTGGGGAGCCACGTCCCCCAGCCTCCAGTTGGTGCACCCCGAAAGGCGGGTCACCAGGACTCCACTTCCCTATGGACGGAGAGCACACCGGCCCGCACTCTGGGTACCTGGGACTTGCATGGGGTGGATGTGTGTCTCTGCCGGCCCCTGGGGGGACAGCACACTGGGCCCAACTGGTGGGGCAGCAGAAGCTGACCAATCGGCAGTCAGGAGCGGCACACGCTTGGGGACTGCTTTTACGCTCTTGTCCTCTCTGAGCCACAAAACATCAGTGGGCAGCACGGAGATCGGAGCACCACTGCAGGGACAGACCTCAAGACACAGGCCCTCCCAGGGTAAAGGCAAGGCTGCAGCAAAGCAGGATGAGAGCCGTCCCGGGCCAGGGTTCTCTCCCATGCTCTTCTCGCTCGCACAAGCAGCAAGGGCTCGGCAAGCCAGCCCAGCACCCAGAGACGGGAGAGCAGCCCTGGGAGCAGGCAGTCACCATGACGTCCGGGGCCAAGTCTAGCAGAGGTAAGCAGCTCTTCAGCTTCTCCCCGGGCGGGAGCACGAACAGGGTCTGCAGGCAGGTCTGCAGGATCTGGGACTTCACCATGGGTTTGAGACTCGGCCTCAGGCTGCTGGAAGAAAGACCGAGATTGCGGACTTCTCCCCAGAGCCCATGGCTGAGACAGACTCCCAGCAGGGAGAGGCTCTCACAACCTAAAATCAGAAGTGGGTCTGGATTCCAGAAATTCCTTACACTCTGGCTTGGTGGGGGGACACTGTTAGGGAAAACAGAGCTCATTCAGCCTGGGGAGGCCATCCCAAGGCATTCGGGCTCACTGGTATTTGTGAGAAAACGTGGTGCAGCCGTTGTCAGCACCGTGAATGGGATCGGGGTCAACCAGTGGAAAAGGTCAGGGCCAGAGTATAACCAGTGTTAGGGTTCAACGTGTGACCAGGATCAGGGTGTGTGGCCAGGCTCAGGGCTCAGAGTGTGACTGGGATCAGGGCTCAGTGTGTGACCAGGGTCAGGGTCAGTGTGTGACCAAGATCAGGGCTCAGCATGTGACTGAGGCCAGGATTTGGTGAGTGACCAGGTCAGCGCTCGGTCAGTGCCAAGGTTAGCAACCTGTCTTGGATAGGCAACAAGGCAAATCAGTCCCTGATGGTACCTGGCTTGGCTCTAGCGGGGCCAGCCCCTCCCACCACTGTGACCCCTTTTCCACATCCTGTCTCCTCACACATGGACTCCCACCCCGTCCACAAAGGACTTGGCCTGTCTTCATTCCTGGACCCCAAAGGAGAGTTACCTCAGTTTCACAATGACCAATATGACCTTCTGCCGGAAGAGGGTGGCCAGGAAGTTGGGCTCCTTTTGAAGGATGCGCTGGTTGGGGGGGGTCAGACAACAGGTGCTTGGCCATGAGTCCCAGCCCAGCTCCCCATGCCGGGCGCCCTGCTCACTGCCCCCGTGGGCACCGCTCACCAGGAGGCACTGGATAAGGTCTGGTATCTGAGTGAATTTGTGGCTCTGGGTGCCATCCTCCTGCCTGAGAGCTTTCGTAAGCATTATGGCCGCTGAGAGGAAGCTGGTTTTCAGGATGTTGTCCTGTCCGTGCAGAGTCACGGACGCTCAGCAGGGGGTCCCTTGTCCCTCCTGCCTCCCCCGCACAGCCTGAGCACCCGCCTGCTCAGAGGCTGGGCTGCCCCCGTGCGCACGCAGACGCCCCACGCCCCTGCCGCCCGAGCCAGGGCCGGGCTCACGTAGCAGCTGCAGGAGAAGTAGTAGACCATCCTGGAGATGATGTTGTCCACCCAGGGCAGGATCTGCTCCCGGGCGTGCAGGGCCATCTGCCCGTAGCACAGCAGACACGTGCTGCTGACCCACCTCCAGTGCCTGTCAGGGTCTGGCTGCTGTGGACAGGGAGCTAGTCGGTCCCACACTCTGGTGCCAGCCCTCCCCCGGACACCCCCAGCTCCCTCGCCCCTCCAGTCGGAGCTGCTGCCTCTCCAAGCAAGCCAGGGCCTCTGAGGGTCTCCCGTGCATCTGCTCTTCCCGGCGAGGAGCCGAGGGCCAGCAAAACACAGGGGCTCTGCGCAGACCCGCAGGGGAAGTGTCCTGGTGAGGAAGCTGGGGTCAGGGCAAGCCCATGGTCCCCAACCGTCAGACCCCCGAGGCTCCGGATCACACGTGTGGGGCCCCAGCAGCCAGGCTCACAAGGGCCAGGCCACAGCAAGAACCGTGACGGTCTGAGAGCCATGCACCGACCCCTCAGGGAGGCAGGCAGGGCAGCGCCCACGTTCCCAGCAAGCCAACGGAAGCTCGGGGCGCCCGCCAGACGTCTGCAGGTCCCAGGCCCTCCTGCCCGCCGGCTGCCCACTCTACCGGGCACTCTGGGGACGTGAAGGCGGTCCTCAGAAACCTGGTGCGGCCCAGGTGCTCCAGCAAGGCCCACACCGCCTGCAGGTGCGAGGAGGACGCGATGCCGATGGTCGCCGCAATTCCCTGTGGGGCCGGAGGAGCCTATGAGTTGGTCCCCATGCGGCTGCGTGGGGTGCACTGCCGTCTCCTGCCCACGCCTCCCACGGGCCCTTCAAAGGCAGGCGGGGAGCCCACCCCGGGCCTCAAGGGCACGCACCCCACTGTGGCCAACAGGTCAGGATGAAGCCAGGCCACAGCTGCCATCAGTCCCAAGGTCACAACCAGGCAGGCCCTGCACCGGGCGCCCCCTGTTTACCAACGCAGTGCTGGGCGCTGTGGGAGTCGCACAGCGGGGGTGTGGAGAGCCGAAAGGTCAGGCACCCTGAGTAGCAAGGCCCGTGCTGGGGACTCAGGGCCCCCGGGGGTCCGAGAGCGGCAGACCCACCTCCCGCTGGCTGCTGGACTGGTGGGACAGCTCCAGGAGGTCTGCCAGGTGTCTTCTCACTAGCTCCTGGTCCGTAGTCTCTCTGAGGATCAGCCCAAAAACGTGGAAGAGGAAGGTCTGGGAGGAGGAGGGATGGAGCAGGCATTGGGCTGGCGGCAGGGTGTGGGGCAGCCGCCCCCACTGGGTGAGGGGTGAAAGACGTTGGGGAGCACTCCCGGCCGCTGGGCCCACTGCCTGTGTGAGACTGGGGGAGGTGCGTGGGGTCATCGCAGCCCCTCCCCCACCCCCACCTGGCGTTGCTTCCCAGCTGGGCCTGGGGTGCTGTCCCTGTGCCCAGAGCTTCGGATCATGACACTCCCCACCTAGGGAGTGGGGCCGGCGGGGGGGCCTTAACAGCCACGTGCTCTGCTACAGTCAGAGCCTCATGGGGGTCTCAGAGACCACAAAGGACACGCTGGCAGCATCACCCAGGACTGACCTTCTCCAAAGGCTGCTTGAGTTCCAGGTTCAAGGGCGCCAGGAGCTCCTGGACGCCAGTGTCAGCCGCCTCCTTCCAGATGAGCTGCAGGTAGAACACAGGGCTTGGGCCCCACCCGCCCCACCCCAGGGAGCTGGACACCAAATCCATCAGGAATCCCCAAGGATGGTGGTCACCTGTGGGTGAGCAGGGAAGACAAGCTACTGCCAAAAGGTAAGGGGAGATTTGGGGGTGCTACCCTCCAACAACCCACTAGGGCACTTGCTCCAAGTGTGATTCTGGCCGTGTCTACTTCTCCTTGATCCCTGGCAACCCCCTACCTGTAGGACAGAGGCTGGTGGGCCCCTGATGGCCTGGTCCCGCTGGCATCTCCTGAGAGTGCTCCCCAGGCCTCTCCTGCCACCATCTTGCCAGCCTCAGGGCCTTTGCACAGACTCTTCCCCACTGGCTGTATTTCCCCTCCTCCCTGCCTCTGAGCAAGAGTCCCCGAGCCTGGGCTGGCCTTCGGCCAGATTCCGGGTCCCGAAGCTGAGCTCTCTATGTGCTTGGAGCCGTCTCCCTCTGTGGGCACCCGTCCTCAGGCAGAGGGGGGTGTCCTATAAGGGTGAGCGGGTCTCCCAGAGTCCCACCTGGGTTTGCTCCTTGATGCAGAGGTGGATGGTGTCCAACACCACGTTCTTCTCCAAGACAGACATGGTCCTGATTTTGTCGATGAGGGCTTCCTCCTGGAGCAGTCTGTCTTTCAGGGGCTCCTCCAAGATCGCCCTGCCTGGCTGACCTGCAGACCGCAGAGAAGCAACCCTGTGTCGGGGTGCCAGAGAGAAGCTGCACCCCCAGTCCTGGCTCTGGCTGGGCCCCTCAGTCACGTGGCCTGAGCGACTGTCTTAGCAGTGTGTCTGCGTCTGCGTCTGCGGGAGAGCGGTGGGAAAGCAGCCAGCCAGAAGGAAGGCCAGAAATGCAGAGGGCAGACGCCTCTCGGGCCAGGGCGCTGGGACACAGCCGGGAGGCGTGACCACCTGCAGAAGCCAGCCCCCCAGCAAAGGGAACACGCCTCGTGACAGGAGTACCGAACTCCAGCCCAAGAGAACGGGGACCCAAAGCTCGTCATTTGGAATAAAAACTTACGTCCCTACTGTACTTGTGACACCAGAATAACCAGCAGGCAGTGACGATCCTGGGATTCCTAAATGACAACTGCAGACATACTGAGCAGACTGGGCTTTGCTATTAGAGAGATTCTCTAATATTCTAATATTCTCTCCCAGAGGAGAGAAGGGCTTTCTCAGCGGGATACAGAGACCGAAACAGACAGTTTTCGGGCTAGCGACGCAGTCAGCACAGCCCGCCACGCAGGGGACGCAGAAAATATTTTTGCTGTGTGTACAGCAGGTCACTATTACTGCATAAGGACCTCTCCTACGACCGGAGACGGGGTGGAGAGATGCCCAGAGGAGAGCCCGGCCGACAGAGAAATGAGAAGATGGGACCTCACTGCTGCTGCTGCTGCTGCTGGTTAAAGAAACGCAAATTAAAACCACCAGAGACGGGGCACCTGGGTGGCCCAGTGGGTTAAAACCTCTGCCTTCAGCTCAGGTCATGATCCCAGGGTCCTGGGATCGAGCCCCACGTCGGGCTCTCTGCTCGGCAGGGAGCCTGCTTCCTCCCTCTCTGCCTGCCTCTCTGCCTCCTTGTGATCTCTCTTTCTGTCAAATAAATAAATTTAAAAATCTTTAAAAAAAGCGGAGGGGGGGCGCCTTGGTGGCTCAGTGGGTTAAGCCTTGGCCTTCGGCTCAGGTCATGATCTCAGAGTCCTGGGATCAAGCCCCACATCGGGCTCTCTGCTCGGCAGGGAGCCTGCTTCCTCCTCTCTCTCTGTCTGCCTCTCTGCCGACTTGTGATCTCTGTCAAATAAATAAATAAAATCTTAAAAAAAAAAAAATTAAAAAAAAAAAAAACCACCAGAGACAGGAGGTTTGTGTCATCGAGGCCAGGCTGGAGGGGGCAGGGTGAGAAGTGAGGGCATTTTCCCACCACCGGGGCCAGAGGGGGCAGGAATTCATCCTCTTCAGAAGAAAATTTAACAGCAGGTCTCAAGCATAAGTAAAAATCACCTTCAAAGCCACTCGGCCAAGAGGCTTCCTGTCTCAGGCCCCAAATACAGCCTGGGAGCGAAGAGAACCGTGAGAGAGGTTTCCAAACGCTCTGGCACTTTGCAAAGGTAATCGATACTTCTTTGATCAGGAAAAACGAGGCGGGAGCGAAGCCAGGGCCCCCCAGGAATGGAAACAAAGTCAGGCCTGGTGTCAGGTGTCGCGGGCCGGGAAGCAGCGTCACCTGCGGGCTCTGCCCTCCCAGCCACGGCGTGCCCCACAGTCTCGGGCCTACTGGTGTGTCCCAGCACACCCACTCGGGGACCCCCACCCCAGCGGACACCCACAGCCAGGGTCACTGCTTAAATCGAGAGCCAGGCCCAGGCTGCCTTTAGGCGGCCTCACAGGTGGCACCGCCCCCTGCCCGCTGGACCCGCCTGTCCGGCTATCCTTCTGCTCCTTCCTTCATTCAGTAGAAGTTTGTTGAAAATCTGCTATTTGCCTGACACCGGAACCACAAATAACCGCAAAATGCTTGCGTTTACAGCACTCGCAAGGGTCTGGGCCCCCAGAGCGGGCGGGAGACCACCTGCCACTCCCTTCCCAGGGTTGTAGGCAGGGCAGCGCTGAAGGGGGACGCCGGGTGTCCCGCCTCCCGTACCTGCACCCCAGGGCTGTGACCCTGACTTCGTGGGTACATGGCCAGCTGTGGCCCTTCGCGTCGCCGCAGGCGGGCAGAGCAAGTCTCCAAAACAAGCCTTGACCACTGGGTAAGGCTCCAGAGACCCTGCCTTTCTAGAAGTTTCTGTCAGGTGCAAACGAGCTGTCTCCACCCCCGGAAGATGTGAGACCCCGGCACCCTCGGTGCAGCCCTAGGCCCTGCGTCCCTGCCCTGCACAGAGCAGATGCTCAGACAGTGGACACCGAGGGGCCTGAAATGAGGGACGGGGTGCACTCCAAGCCCAGGGGACTAGGACAGTGCCGACCAGAGACAGCCCAGAAGGCCCTTGAAGGCCCTGGACCCCCGCTCTCCACAGCCCCCTGCCCACCCTGCTCACCATTGTCCTGCTCCTGCTCCTCTGTGGGCAACAGGCAGCTGGACCTCCACTGGGGACAGTGAGGGTCATCACTAGGAGCAGCAACCATGGACAGCGGCACCTCCTGGGAGCACACGTCCTGGGGTGGGGACGGAGGGTAGGACCAGTCAGACCTGCTCAAGAGGGGCCAGACCGCACTGGGGCCCCCTGCCTCAGTCAGTCACCCCAACCCTACCAGGTACCCCCAGCAGGTCACCCAACCCTATCAGGGGACCCCCACCTCAGTCAGTCACCCCGACCTTACTGGGGTCCCCAGGGGACATGGGAAGGAGGGAGGGATGAGGTTCCTACCTGGAGCTGACATCCAAGGCCCTCCCACCTTACCAGGCCCCAGGCTCCCCTCCCTAGACACTCTGGGATTCCGAGTCCTGTGATTGTGTGGCAGTGACCACTCGGTCTGTACACTCTGCTTCCCACTGTCCGTACAACTACAGCTCAGGGGCCTGACAGAGGCGCCAAAGAAGCTTTAGCGTCTGGCCTGAGCTGGGGGAGGCGTCATGTGCCCCATAGCAGCCTGGCCCTCCCCAGCCCTCACCACCCCCCGACCGTCCACACCCAACCACCCGTCCACTAGGCTCCCCAGCATGAGGAGATGGCGAGGGGCCTGGGTCTGGGGTACCTTCTGGTACAGAGGGCCCAGGACAGGCCAGATTCTGCATTTCTAAGAAGCCTCCAGGTGCCCCCGATGCTGCCAGGCTGGGCTCAGGGGCCGCCTGGAGGCCCCACAGACCCTCTCTGGGCTGGACCTATGTAACCCAGATGCCTGCAGATAGACCTCCCTCAAGGCCCTGACCTGGGGGCTCTTCTTCTGAGAGAGGGTACCTCTGAGACCATGGCCACCCTAGGGCTCTGGCATCCTGTGGACCCCCTCCCGCTCCCCTCACCTCAACTCCCTGGGGCTCCCCAAAACTGTCCATTGGACCCCCAAAGGACCCTCACACCTCTCCTGAGCCCTGGCCTCTCTTCCAGCCTCTGCCGCAGGCCTCCCAGAAAGCACGGCCTCCAGGGGGCCGTCTGGCCCTCGCCCACCAGCCCTCACCCGGCACCCTCCCCTCTGGAGGCAGGGGGCGGTCTGCACCCCAAAGCCCCAATGTGTATGGGGATGAACGAAGGCACGCAGACCCACAAGTCTGTGCCTGCGAGTGGATGCACCCAACGGCGAGCAGAGGAAAGCGGCCAGCCTCTCCCTGAGCGGCGGGCACCTGGGCACCTAGTGTTCATGAGTCAAACCTGTGTCTCGGGACCTCGTGCCCCTGTGAGTCTCCCTGCTCCTTCCCTCTGGCCACCTTTCTGCCCTCGCTCGACAGATGTCCGGGGGTCCCTCTGCCCCAGGCCTGGAGGGTGTGACAACTGACAAGTTCAGCCCAGTCCTGCCCTCTGTCCCAAGCCACCCTCGGCCAGGCGTCCCCCACATCCCAGTGTCGGACCCAGACTTCTTGCTCAGACGCTCCAGTGCCCTGTTCCTTCAGGGGCCGCATCAGCCCCTTCCCTCCCCGCCCCGGCTGAGCTGGCTGTTCCCTCAAGTGGGGCCCCTGCGACTCCTTCCCGACCCCAGCAGACCCCACTCTTGCTCTGGCGTGACTCATGCTGACCCGTTCCCGAGGGCGCCCCCCACACAGGTGCGGGTCCACACGCAGACCCCCGTGGCCTGTGCTCCGGCTAAGGGCTCTGGCTGGGTGTTGACGTGTTTGGAGAAGACAGTTTTCCCTGGATGTTGAACCCCCTTCTTGCAAATTGGTCCCCCAAACCCTCTTCATGCTTAAGACAAGGGCCATAGTCATCCATTCCAAGCCTGGGATCGGGCCGGGCTGCTGTCAGGGACAGTGGAAGAAGCCTGGGCGGGTTTCCTGGAGAAGGTGAGGTGAGACCCCAAAGTCAGAAAGGGCACAGTAGACCTGAAGAGGTAACGTTAGGGTGGCTCATGGTAACCAAATCCCAAAGTGGATACTTTGGCCAGAGAGGGCAGAGGTCACCTGGGGAGGCAGCTGGAGGAGGGGCGAGGGCGGGTCATCCCTCCTCCTGCAAGACCCCGCCTCTCCCTCCACCTCTGCCAGATCAGTGACCACCTGGCTCCCTGCTGCCCGCACACCCTCCATGCCGGGTCCCCTCAGCTTGCAGGCCCTAAGCTCTGGCCCCCCACTCCATCCACCCCTGCGGGGGTCCCCACGGAGGCGGGGGGTGCGGCAGCCTGCAAAGCTGCTCAGGCGTCCTGCAAGTCAACTTGGCAACGAGGGTCAGGCTCGTCCCAGAAACGCAGATGAAAGATGTTATTCACCCATAAACATTGTTTAAAAGGTCACCGAAGACAACAGTCCCGAGGGGGTGTCTGCCAAGACCCCCAGAGCGCACAGTAGTTGACTGGGAATCCTGCTGCTGGGAATCTAATCTACAGAAAAGTGAGAGATGCTTGAACGACTCAGGACTCAAATATGCTTCCTGGGTTTAAAAAAGCCAGACTTGGGGGCGTCTGGGTGGCGCGGTTGGTTAAGGGTCCGACTCCTGATTTCGGCTCAGGTCATGATCTCGGGGTCCTGGGACGGAGCCCTTAGTGGAGAGTCTGCTTCTCCCTCTCCCTCTGTCCCTCCCCCTGCTCACACTCACGTGCACACTCTCTCTGTCTCTCTCTCCCAAATACATAAATAAATCTTTTTTTAAAAAGCTGTGCGTGGTCAAAACCAGAGGAAGGAAACTGAGGGCAGGGGTTAAGGTCATGTTCGTAAAGACTATCCCATGGTGTGGGAGACCTCTTAGGATCCCACGTGGAGTCACGAAGTCCTAGGATTCTCATGGAAAATTACAAGCAGTCTCGGGTGCAGGGTTCGGGGGGCTTTGCCCCCACGCCCCCTCACTGGGGTACAGCCCGTCTGTGGCGGGCCCAGCTGACCCTCTTTGGAGACGGAATGCCCATTGAAAACTGAAGGCAGTGCAGGGTTAGAACAAAGGTAAGGACAAGACAGGTCAGTGGACAATACCTGGGGTCCTGAGGGGGCTGGGCCAGCTCCAGAGCGGGGCGGGGAGGGCTGCACGGGGCACTCTGCCCAGGTCTGAGGTCCAGGGAGCCTGAGAAGACAGGGAGGGTCAGGCCTTGGAGCAGCCTATGTCGGCTCATGGGGTAGGGGGTGGGGGAGGGCAGGACGCAGCCCCTCTGGGCGAACCAGGGCATCCTTTGGGCCTCTGAGGCCCTGGGAGACAGTGCGCCCAAGGCCACTCTGCCTCTCAAGGCCCCGAGCGTCCTGCGGGAGGCCAGCTGCCATCAGACAGCGCAGGAGGTGTTCTCTGAGAAAGGATGTGGACACGGGCTGTGTTCTCGATGAACAGCCGCCAGGGGACAGTTTGAGGACAAATCTGAGTTCACAGGGTCCTGAGAAAAGCCAGCCTGAGGCGACGTGAGGGGCCTCGTGCCACATGGTTCGTGGGGGCCAGGGTGCCCCACTGAGCTGGGGAGCACCCAGGAAGGACGGAGGGGTAGGTCCAGCCAGGGACTTACGACTGCTGGGCTGCCGCTCAGCTGGTTATGGACACCTCCAAGAGACGCCGCTATGAGTCACGAGTCCCTGTCTCCAGGGCTCACTGGGGACTCGTCTCCTGAGAAAGTGAGTCTGTGAACCAAGGTTCTCCCGGGGGCCCTGTCCCCAACAGCCATGCAGGCCTGAGAATTCCGTCCTCCAACCGACACCTTGGGCAGTTGGGCCCTCCCCGTGCACGAGGCCGTGATTTCTGCTCTCCGAGGCCAAGAGGGACCCCAGGCTGGACGCTGACCCAGACAGGCCTTGGGACAGTGGTGCCACCCTGGCTCATAGCAGCCACCCCAGAAGGCAAGACCTGCGCTACCCCAGGCGGACTCCCCAGGGCTGCCAGCCAGGCCGGGCTCCAGGGGCTCCTTTCTGGAGAGACCTGGGCTTGTGCTGCCGGAACCATGGAGACCCTTGGGGGTGCGTGTCCCCCGCACCGTCACACAGGTGCTGCCCGCCTGAGTTCATTCCTGCCTTTGGGCTCACTGGGTCACCGGGTGGTGGTCTCTGACCCAAGGTGGCTGTGCTCTCAGCTCCTGCAGCCCAGGACCATGCACCCCAAGGTGCGGAGAATATAAAATGGGTCCAGACTTGCCGCTACCTGTCCAATGGCGTACTCGCTGACATTCCCCCGTCATGCATGCTGCGGCCAGAGGGCACTCGGGGACTGAGCTGAACCACCTGCCCTTGAGGGGGCCTCTGGGGAAACGGAGCCCCTTCCTGGTGTAGGGACCCTCCTCCGGCCTCACCACCCCCCAGGGCAGCTCAGGGACAGAAAGCCAGCCTGGGGGTGACCCCACAAGAGGGTCACTGGGGAAGTTTCCACTGTAAGTCCTGTCGGAAGGTGGACCCCGGGCTTGGAGAGAACGGGGACCCTGGGGCCTGTGGGCGGCTGGCCTGAGGCCTCCACCTGGGGGCCAATCTCAGAGCCATGTGTAGAGAGAAAGCCTGGAATAAGCTCCCCACCCCCCCGGGACGGGCAGCCACCGCCTCGGTGGGCGTGTTGGAAGCTGCATCCAGGAGGGACTGTGCTCGGAGGCCAGTGAGTGGCGGAGGGTGTTTCTCTCTCCGCCGCCCATCACGCCACCCTGCTCCCTCACAGGACCGGTGGGCTGGTGGGATAGGGTGGGGGGGAACCCGACATAGCCCTGCCCGGGCTCTGGGGCACTGTAGGGTCACATGAAGTGCTTTCCCAATCCCCACGAACCCTCTGGATCCCCACAAGAAGAGGGGCCGGAGCGGACCCCGGGGTGCGTCGGGCGGGACTTGTGAGAGGCTCAGCACCCCCGCGCCGCCATCGGGTGGGGCCGGAGGGACCTTCAGGCCGTGGGGGTGATGTGACTCTGGAGGGACGTGGTCACCCAGGGGCAGTTCTGAGCAGAAGTGGGGAGGCACTGGGGCACTGGGAACTGGCGGGTCCCCCCCAGCCGAGAGGCCTAGTGCCCCCAGGCCTGTGCTCAGCGGGTATGCCCCCCAAGGCTGGCAGCATGGCCGGGGGGGTGGCTAGGGGAGGGCGTCATGCTCCCCGAAGGCTTTTCCCCAGGCCCTCAGCCCAGCCTGGAGGGTGCGTCCTGGAGAAGGAAGAAACAGGGACTGGGGAAACTGAGGCCTGGCTGCAGTTGGAGAAGAGGGTTTCAGGACAGGAATGGCCCATTTCCCCAGGAGTTCGCAGAGGGCCTAGCTGGAGACAAAGTCGCAGGGGACCCTGGGGATGGAGCTGGCAAGCTCCAGCCCAGCTGGGGTCAGAAGTCAAGCAGTGACCAGCACTCAAAGGGCAACTTCCAGACAGGGGAGTGTGGGCGCTGTGGTGCATCCATTGCCCTGTGGTTGGGGACCAAAGATCTGAGGAAGCAAGAGATGGCCCTCATCCCAGCGTGGGCGCAGAGTCCGGTACAGCCCGGGAGGGCTTCTTGGAGGACACAGAGAGGGACAGAGGAACCTGGGTGCTCTTGGGGGTACCATGGTGAGAGGAGGGGCAGGGATGCACACACAGGTGAGGCATCCTGGGGGGAGTGACAATGGCGGCAGTGGGGATCAGGGGAGGGGACGAGGGTGGGGTTGGGCGAGGACCCCAGCTGGAGCAGTGAGGCTTAGCGGAGACAGAAGGCGGTGTGGCTGCTCAGCGGCAGGGGTGCGGCAGATGGAGTCAGGTCCCTGGTGCAGGGAGGCGTGTGGGGTGATTGGGGGGGCAAGCGGGCCGAGGGGTGAGGACAGGCCCTGTTGTGGCCAAGGTCACGTCCCTGACCTTGCCCTCAGTTCCCCAGCACGCACCTGTCCTGGCTAGAGCTGGAAGCCCAGACCCCAGTGAAGAGAAATCTAGATTTATAGCCAGACAGAGCAGCACGGGGCACCCGCACCCCCATCCGGAGCTGCCCGGGTGAGGGAGGGCCCTGAACAGCCTGAGCCCTTGGGTCACATGGGGGGTCGGGGAGCCCAAGCTGCTCCCGTCCCAAGGGGCCGGCTCTGCCTAGGCCTCCCACTGTGCTCGCCAGTCTCACCATGACTCTGCTCCATGCTGCCCGAGTTGCCCAAGATCCACACACGGGCTGGGGAGCGGGGGAGGCAGGGCAGTGGGGACTGCACTGTGTCAGATGGACGGATCCCTCCCTGGGCGGGGGAGAGGTGGGAAGGGAAAGACAGGCTCCTCTGAGTCCTGTTACAGCCCACGGCTCCCCACGACAGGCTGTCACCATCTGACTCATTCACTTATTCAAACAGATGAAAACTGAAGCCCAGAACGTACTGTCCCCCATCAGCTCGGGAAAGGAAGAAGGTGTGACAGAGGCAGGCTGTGTCCTGGGGGCTCAGCCGGGTAGGCAGACAGACGCATAAGCAAACAGTCTCTCCAAAGGGCAAGGGCCCCGTGGAAACCGTCCAGTTCTGCCTGGGAGAATCAGGGCAGGCCTCCTGGAGGAAGGGGCATCCGAGCTGGGGCCTGAAGCATAGGTAGGAGTTCGCCAGCTGGCGAGGAAGGGAGAGGTATTGCAGCGCACAATGGGAAACTGCCTATGAAGGCACAGAGCAGGCTCCAGCCAGGGTCAGGGCAGGGGTGTGGTGTGCAAGAGCGGAGCCCAGGGGAAGGAGGTATTTGCAAAAGGGAGCTTGGCAGAGGTGGGGGGGTGAGGGGGCGCTCACGTGGCCCACACAGTAGGGGGCTACGGGCTGGTAACCTTGTTAAACGCAAGGCTCTGGATTCGGGTTTTGCCTTTGGTAACAGGGAGCCCTGTGAGGTCCCAAAGTGGCGGGAGCAGGGTCTGGGAGATAAGAAGACAGTGTCTGGTCTCCACCAGACTCTGGACTTCCAGGCTCCACCAAAGGCCTCAGCAACACTGTCCCACACTCTCCTCCCAGGTTGGCTTCTGCTCCCGCCCCCACAGGCCCCAGCTGCCCCCACTCCTCCACCCTGATTCTCCAGGGTCCAGCAGGGCCGGAGGGGGCCGGGGATGGAGAGGCTGGTGAGGGACAGGGACGTGGGGGCTTCCAGATGCCCACAGCCAAACCACCTAGGCCAAGGCTCACACCTCCTGTGGTCAGCCCGACCATGGCCCGGTCCCACAGGACCCCTCCTGCTGCAAGCCTGGGCTCAGATCTGGTCCTCCCCCATGTGCTGTGTGGCCTTGGGCAGATTACTGAGGCTCTCTGGGCCTTGGTTTCCCATAGAGCAGCTCCTGCTGCCTAGGGCTGCGATGAAGGTTGACTGAGCATCTCCGTGTAAAAGGACCCTGACTGCTGACCGCTGACCACGCTGGGGCGGGAGCGGCAGGAGAAAGACAGCAGAAATGTGAGGCCGCCTGGAGGGGAGTGGGGTGCAGATGCTCAGGGCACCCCCAGGAGGGCTGGCAGCAGGGAGGGGCCAGGGAAGGAGGTGCTTGAGGCAGAAGGACTGGGAGCCCAGCACAGCCCGGCGAGTGGAGGGAGGGAAGAGAATACGCCGGGCACGGAGCCCAGCGGCCGTCCTCTCCGACGACTTTCCCGGCTGCGGCTTGAAGCGGCGTCCCCACGATGATTTCTTTGCCCACTGGCTGCAACGTCCTTCTGTGCGTCTGGCCCCGTTCAGCGCTCGCTCTCTCACAGGAGATTCGAGAAGCCTGGAATAACACAGACTTTGTCCTAGTTTTCTGGCAACACTGTGAGGCTCCGAGAGTGTGTGTCGAGTAAATGAATGAGTGAGAGAGTAAATGAGCAGGAGCAGCGGGCAGTGGGAGTGTTCGGGGCCCGCGATGGGCTCAGGGCCCAGCTTCCAAGACCTCCCTGCCTCCCCTCTGCTTCCTCCTTCCCCCACTCCCTCCCTCCTCCCCCCTGCCTCCGGCTCCACCAACAGCCCCCTACCCCACCCCCCGACCGCAGGCCATGCCCAGCTGTGTCAGGTGGGCCCTGGTGGCTGCACCCTGTCAGCTGGGCCAGCCTTAGCCCTGCCCTGCTCTTCCCTACTGCCCCCTGCCCACATGTCAGAGCTGGGACTGCGGGCTAGGCCTGGCCTTGGCCACAGGCCAGCTGCTAGCCTTCTGCTCGGTGTGGGGCTGGGGCACTCTGAGGGCATGGCCAGCTGGGGGCTCCCTCCGGGGGCCCAGAGGACTCTGCACCTCCCAACCATGCCTGCAGGCCAGCCCTGCCCTTTGGAGGTAGCCTGGAGCAAGGAAGGAGACAAGCT